AAAGTACATTTGATTTCTACGCATGGAGTCTCATGGTCTTTCTTTCCTAATTAACTAATGGAGAGGAGCTGACAGTAGCACTATAAGCCACAGCAGAAATCCACTCATTTAAGTAGAATTTAATCAGGTCTCTAAGCTCAGGCAGAGGAACCTGGAGCTTCAAGGATAGTCCTATGTACAATACATGACAGTTGTGCAGCTGGGGCTGTCTCGAAATCCCTATGTATCCCATTAATATCTACCAGTTAAATCAATGTCTCTTGTTTATTTCTACAGGGTAATGGTGACAAAGTCTTGAGCAAAGTGTTGCCTGATGTGGGTAAGGTTTTCCAGCTTGAGGTAGTGGTCGATCAACCCCTGGATAGTGTCTATGATGAGCTGGTGGTAAAGATGGAGCAGATGGGAGACTGGAATCCAAATATTAAAGAGATCAAGGTAAGCCTCTTGCAGGTAGAGGCCCTTTTTGGAAATGAAAAAAAAATGCAAGGCTTCACATGCTTTGCTAGTTGGCCTTTCAAAACTTTTAGAAGCAAAACTATTGTTCAGTAAGAATAGTAATAAAGTAAAGTGATACCTAAAGTTAAATTGGTGGAGAATATTCAATGGAGTTTGTTCCCTAGATGTTGAATCATAATTCTGGGCATCCTTCATTCTTTAGTGGCTTGGATTGCAGGAGTCTATAGTTCAGCAACATTTGGAGAATCTCAAGTACAAAACCCTGATGTACAATAAACTGAGCAAGTGAAAGTGCAAAAATAAAATTTGGAGGGCTAAGGGTTGAGCTGAGCATTAGTTTCTCCACCAGCTGCTCACTCTTTCAATATGTTCTGCTTCTCACTATTTTGGGGGAAGGTTCATCCAATATATTGGCTGTGTATAGTCAGAGATGCCCCAGCTTGAGAGTTAGTGTTGGGGCAATTACAAGCTAACAACTCCCATATGTAGACCAGACACTCACTTCTAGTGTCTCCTTCCCTACAGGTGAGGGAATACATTTATTGCATCTTTCATGGTGTTGACTCTTTAACATGTGATCCAAAGTTGAATTCATTCTACCGTTTTGAAATGCTCTAACTTTCTTTCTCCATAAAAAAATTGCTTTGTCTTTTTAATGATCTGTTGCACAATCAGCCACATGTTCAGATTGGATTCAGCATTTTTATACAATCTATTCAGTCCAGTGGTGGGTTTCAAATTTTTTTAGAACCTCTTCTGTAGATGTGGCCTGCTTTGTGGGAGTGGCTTGCCAGCCATGTGACTGGGTGGGCATGTAAAATGCCATGTGATCGGGTGGGAGTGGCTTGCCAGCCATGTGACTGGGTGGGCATGTAAACTTGTAAAATGTGGTGAAACTCACTTAACAACGCTCTTGCTTAGCAACCAAAATGTTGGCTCAGAAACTCTGGCATTTGAAGCACGCAAGTCTTAAAGCTGTCAAGTTACAAGACCCTTGCACCTCTAACCCTTTAGAAAAAAACCCCCCAGAGATGTTCAGACTTGACAGCTTTCAGACTTGTGAACTTCAACTCCCAGAATTCTTCCTCTCGCTCTTCATCTTGATGATGTGCAGACGGGCCGGGGGAGGGAGCTGGAACCGGTTCTAAACGGCACGGTAGATTTGTGGTACCTCTTCTACAGAGGTTAGAACTGGCAGGAACCCACCCGATTCAGTCCTTCCCAACAACCTGGGATAGATTATTATTTATGGTAATCTTTTCCTAGATTCTCCAGAAGATTGGCAAAGATACCGTGATCACTCATGAAACCTCAGCAGCAACTCCTGGCAACGTAATTGGCCCACGAGACTTTGTCAGCGTCCGGTGTTCCAAACGGCGTGGCTCTACATGCCTCTTAGCTGGCATGTCAACCACCTATGCCCCCATGCCAGAACAAAAAGGAGTTATCAGGTATCTCTTCCCTTTACTTAAATTACATAGTTCAATTACGGAACAGATGCCCAAATCTAGGTCCTTCCAGCTAAGTTGTAGCAAAACTCTCCTCAGCAATCCTGGAAAATTAGTTATAACCCAACACATGTGTAGAGCACCAAGGTGAGAAACGCTATCCTAAGACCAGTGGTGGGATTCAAATAATTTAACAACCGCTTCTCTGCCCTAAGAACAGCTGGGTGGGAGTGGCTCAGTGGTCATGTGACTGAGTGGCCGTGGCCAACTCAACGTCACTCACGTCAATGGGGGCTTTGCCTTAGCAGTTACAATGTGATAAGGGTTAACGGGAGAGGCAGTTTCTGTAAGCAGGGAAATAAAGATTAGGCTAGAAATAAAACCAGAATGTTTCCTTCCTGCCTTCCTTTCAGGATTAGCCCTGTAAAGTGGAAAGAAACAAAAGGAGATTTTTTCCAACAACCGGTTCTCTGAAATGCTTAAAAATTTAACAACTGGTTCTCCCGAATATGTGTGAACTGGCTGAATCCCACCACTGCCTAAGACTCAATATATGGTACTTACTAGTGAGATATCTGACATCTTCTCTTAGCCAATGGGTTGAAATAAGCTATGACATGTTGATGTGAGGGATGGTGTCAATGTAGAGGGAGGTGGTGCGATGGACAATAACATGGTAATTTCCCAGGAAGGAAGCTCATTGAAGGAGGGAGGGGCAAAACAATAGGCAACACAGCCCAGAGCTGGATCAAAGAGAGAGAGAAAGGATAGCCATTCCCTCTAGACTCTCCCAGGATACATCTGTTAGGCTGTAAGATTCTGTCTGTTGAATCTTACATAAAGAGATATCTTATGTATCTTACATAAAAAGACCTACATATAAAGAACTTAACTTTAGCTGAGTTGTTCCATGTCGTTCCTGGGCCTCTGCTTAACTGTTTTCTTTCTTTCCTACAGAGCGGAAAATGGTCCCACATGCATGATTCTTCATCCAGTTCTAGGAAATCCCTCACAAACCAAGTTAACCTGGCTTCTCAGCATTGATTTAAAGGTAAAGATATATGGCAAACTAGGTTAAATTATGGTGAATGTTACTTTTACAAAAACACTTTCATGTTAAATGTGTTCATGGAGAATTGGAAACCCACTCCCCTTCTGTTTTCATAGTTGAAACATATCAGTAGCAAATTTGAAACCAGAAACATAAAACTCCTTAATGCAGGCTTAATAAATTTACGAAATTAAAGTCCCCAAATTGTAGTTCTCCAAAATAACTGCTGAACTACTAAGTTTCTTTTTCTTGACATGGAACTTAAGTCTACTTCTAACTGCATAGCAACCTGGTTTAACATCCCCCACTATTTTTTTTTAAAATTCCAGGGATGGCTTCCAAAGACATTGATCAACCAAGTTCTTTCTCAAACCCAAATGGATTTTGCTAACCACCTCCGGAATCGTTTGACCAAATCTACATCTGCACAAGCCCTCAGATGCTAAAAAGAAATGTTCCCTCCTGGCCATTTTTCCTGGATGATGCTCTGACTCCAGCCGCTCATGAATCACTGACTGAAGACTCTGTCCCAGAGTATTGATGCTTACACTCTCTCCTGTTAAGAGGCAGGCTTCTTTCCCTTATGTTGCATCCTTATGTTTAAGAGCCTCCCTTTAGAGAGAGGCGCACAAAGCTTGTGTTCAGGACTCTGGAAGAATAAGTTATGTATGTTATGCTTAGGTATATCAGGCATTGAAGGTGATACTAAGTGATATCAATGGTGGCATCAACCATGCAGTTTGTTGGGACTCAAAAGGCTAACAATTGCTTGATGGGCAATGCATTGCATCTTATTTCTTACCAATGTCTAAATTCTGAAATGCAAAAGGCAAGATAAACTGTATCGAGAAGGCAGCCTGAGCCTAGGTGACAGTAGGACACAACTAGAGTTCAAGGCTAAGAGAGGAAAGAACCAGCATCTTTGATGAACAGATAGTTTCACCTGGACAATACTGCACTGACTCTCTATACCTGGTCTTATTAGTATTCAGTGTGCTTGGAATTGGTTAACCTATCTTGGCTACTTCTTGATAATGTGCCAGGTTTGATCTCTAACCTCTTCATTTCAAAGCAACTGACAAGACCCAAGAGATGAGAAGGAGCTTTGCAAAAGTATTTGGAAAATTATGCCAATAAGTGGTGTTAGGTGCTCCAAAATACTTTTACAGAAATAAGTGTCATGTCCAGAGTCGTACCTTAATTAAAAGATGCTGTCCATCACCTTCTCTTAGTCACAACTCATCCCAGTTAGGCAGCAGATAATCAGCTGGGGTTGTATCACAGCAGCTATTTTTACACACACACACACCCGTAGGGGTTACAAAGATAGCTGTCATGTCCTTCCCCATCATTTACAACCTCCTTTTTCCAAGCCAGGATGCCACTACCAATGGAGTCCCTCCCACCTGCCTCTTTTTTTCCTTTCTATGATCCGGCTCCTAAATCTTGGGAAATGTTAAGGATTAATTCAAGGGTCACTAGTTCCCATGATACACTTACAGTAAGTGGAGTTAACTGAACTCTGCAATATTGGCTTTATTAAAAGCTAGGTTTAAACCTAACTCCATTTGTTGATCTGATCAATTAATATTCTTTTGATGTTTTCACGGAACACTAAGCCTTCATGGATTCAATTTAAGTGTGAAATGGGAACGGAGACTATGCAGAGTATTAAGTTATAGCAGTAGACTTATATACCGCTTCATAGGGCTTTCAGCCCTCTCTAAGCGGTTTACAGAGAGTCAGCATATTGCCCCCAACAATCCGGGTCCTCATTTTACCCACCTCGGAAGGATGGAAGGCTAAGTCAACCCTGAGCCGGTGAGATTTGAACCGCTGAACTGCTGATCTAGCAGTAGCCTGCAGTGCTGCATTTAACCACTGTGCCACCTCGGCTTATGGTCAATGCCTAATTATTGTTGGAATGTAGACCTGTGCCATCACATCCATCTTCTGCCTGATTTGTTTGCTGCCCTTTGAAGGCCCCCAAAACCAATCAGTTAATAGTTTTCCACCTGTACCTATTTTCTTCTTTGAAGATGGATAAAATGGGAAGCTCCAAAGATTAGCAATGAAGACAATCCACCCATCCTTGGCAAGTAAGATAGATCAGTATTTTTTAAACTTGGCAAGCTATGTGGACTTCAACTCCTAGAATCTGTCAGCCAGTATACAGTTTGAAAAATACTGGGATAGATAGACATTGTTGCTAACTCTTGATGTCAACTCTGTCCTAGGTTTTTCAAACATGCTACCCGATTCTGTCTGAACTTTAGTCTAAAAGGAAGGGTGAAAAGTTACTTGTTTTTTCTCCAGATCAACCAAAACTGGTAGATAGTCCTTGTATGATAACATCACTAAACATGAGAGCTGATGGTAGCTTAAGTTTTAAAAGCCACATAACAATTATGCCCTCCAAAAGTTCACAATAAAAAGCGGTCAGTTTCAAGGATTTGCAACACAGCTGTTTACTTGCTAAGTAATTCTGCTTATTCTGTCCTTATTGTATATTGCAGAAACTTTGCCTCTGCTTGCAATGAATCTGGAAAAGTTTGTTCTGCACTATTTTAATAGCAAAAAAAGATTTTTTGGGGTGTTACTAGAAAACCATAATTGTGCTATTGTTTATTACCAACAATTCAAGTGTCTAATTCAGCATCTGTAGCAGACAAAATTGTAACTTTATTCTAATTCCCTCCATATGTTGCCCTTCTCCCCACTAAATTATCATGGGTGGGAAATCTGAACCCACAACAAATATCTACAGCAGAGATTGGTCTTTACTCAGCTTGGTGGAGGGAAGAGAAAGATGAATGCTAGTCAAAATGTCAAAAATCTGTGTTTTAAGTGCTAAGGAGCATCTAATGCACGGGTATCAAACTTGCCTTGTGACATTGCTGTCACGTGAAGTTTTGCAACATTCCCCCCATTTGCAGAGCAGGGGTGAGGTGGCCTGCCTGTGACGCTAGTTTGAACACCCCTGATCTAATGCCACTTCATTTGGCCTTTAACCCCCAGGAGTCACTCTCAAGGTTAAAGCAAACCAGGAAGACTTTCATCTATAAAATCCAGTCTGTCACTATTTATTTTCCTTCTCCCTTTTTTGCAAAGGCATTTTATTTAATTATTTATTCTAATTAAGATTTGTGAAGTGTTTCAGATTCATAGTCTTCATGACTTCAACCAACCAACCAACCTATCTTGAGATGTATGGAGAATCTGGTGTACTAACACCATAGTACAGGTAGTCCTACAACAATTGACCCCATAATTTCTGTTCTAACCAAGACATTCGTTACAGGGGTTTTGCCCCATTTTAAGACCTTTCTTGCCACAGTTGTTCACACAGTTGCAATTGTTAAGTTAGTAACGGGTATTAAGTGAATCTAGTTTCCCCATTGGCTTCGCTTGTGAGAAGGGCGCAAAAGGGGAATCACATAACCCAGGACCCTGCAATTGTCATAAATATGAAGCAGTTGTTTGATCAGGTGACCATGAGGATGCTGCAGCGATCGTAAGTATGGAAAATGGTCATAAGTCACCTTTTTTCAGCGCCGTTGTAACTTCAAATGGTCACTAAATGGACTGTTCTAAGTCAAGGACTACCTGTATGCATTTTAACGTAGATGAAAAAGTAACTTCTATGATATGAGCAATGCAAAGGGGTAGCTACAAATTAAAAGTAATGCTTTAGCAGTTCTGTGGTTATAATTTCGTGAATCTACACTGTGTGAATAAAAAGAAAAATGAATAAAATAAAGTATGCTGTGTGCGCTTTGTTCAAAGGAGCATCTCGTGCTCTGTATCTAATTACATTTCACTATAAAAACCAAAGGAAATAGAAAAAAGTGATAGAACTGACAGAGATAGCGAAGTTAACTATTTTAATTAAAAAGAATATATCTAGCTTTGTTTTCACTTGGAAACTGCTTCTAGACTTCCTGTTCAAAAGAGAAGAAAATGAAACTTTGACTTTGGATTTCAATGATTCAAATAGGTTGCTGTTACAGAAATAGCTAATACTAACTAACTATACAGATGTAAAAGTAGTGATTATAATTCTACTATACAACAGTAGCCAATAACTCAGTGTTGCCCGGGTATTTATTTATAGGGGGGAAAATGTCTGGACCAAACATAATTTCTAATGTTGGATTTTCCCCCTTAGCAGAGGGAGCCCCCTTGTGGAGTACTGTGAAGCCGCTACCATGGCAACTCCACTGTGCTGCACAGTAGAAGCCATTTTATGGCAGTACAATAGAAGTCATTTTAAGGCACAACAGGCTGTATCTTAACAGAACACACACCCTGAGGGATTTAGGGGTGTCTTACAACTATAATATTTTTCTGCTGAGGGTAAGTCATCTATGTACCAAGTCTGGTTGAAATTGCTTGAGGTGTATGGTGGCATGCACGCGCGCACGTGCACACACACACAACCATCAAAAAAGGTGGAAATCACTTTTTTCTTTTCCTCTACATCTTTTTTTCCTTTTTCCCTTTACCCATTTCTCTGTTCATTATTTTCATTTGTATTTTATATTTTAAAAGTTTAATAAAATTATACCTGCCTGCCGTATCGATCTCTCCATCCATCCATCCACCCCCCCACCTCCCCATTTAACATATGCTTCTTCTGCCATCATTCCAATATGATCAATATCCTGTTTTTATTCAATTTGTTTTTCATAAAATCTTTTCTCCAATTGTGTATTGAAATGCCATGAGAAACAAATTGGCCCGCCTTGGTTCAAATAAGTTAATTCAAATATTTTTGTATACTACAGTATCTGAATGTCATTCCTAAAGGTCATTAATAGTGTTTATAGCTGGTGAGATAATTGTTTGTGATTTAAACTTGAATCTCAATGAAATGTTTTATGGCATAAAATGGCTTTAAAGCTTGTTGCCCTTTAAACCTATTTCCATACTCAATCCATAAGTGATAGCACATGCTCTGAAAACTGCAATGTACAGTATTGTATTTCACAAATTTTCTAGATTGTCTGTAGGGAAACAAATTGATATTACTATTTTTGGTGTGTTCAATTAATTATCTCTGCTGTTTTTGAAATTAGAAAAAAAATCAGTTCACAATCTATCCCAATGGGTTTTTAATGGGCAATATTGTCATTTCCAAACCATAAATAGTGTCAATTAAAAGATTAATTCAACTCCTGTTGTTAGCAGCCAGGTTTGTTCCTGCAAATCGTAGGAAAACTAAAATACATATTTTTAAATATGCTCCATGTTTCAAGTATAGGAAATTGCTTTGGTTGAAAAATTAGCCCAATTAAAGAACTTTAAAAACCCTACGAAGAAAAATAATCAAAACTGCACATAATTTATTAGCTAAATTAGCAATATTTTCCCCTTCCCCCAAATTACCTTTGTCTATGGGTGAATGAACAATCCCATACTTTTATTCTTTTTTTAAAAATCTATTTGCAGGGAGGGGGTTGTTTCTTTACTAAAATTGAAACTAAAAATTACAAACTGGCACTCACCAAATGTACTGCGATAAAAAATGTGCAGTAATAAACAAATCAGGATTTGTCCCATCAAGACATTGTTTCTTACATACATATGTATGGAAGAGCTGGAAGGGACCCTTGGAGGTCTTCTAGTTCAACCTCTTGCTCAAGGAGGAAACCCTATACCATTCCAGACAAGTGGCTGTCCAGTCTCTTCTTAAAAGCCTCCAGTGATGGAGCACCTACAGCTTCTGAAGGCAACTTCTGTTCCACTGGTAAATTCTTCTCATTGTTAGGAAATTTCTCCTTGGTTCTAGGTTGCTTGTCTCCTTGACTAGTTTCCATCTATTATTTCTTATCTTGCCTTTGGTGCTTTGGAAAATAAGATGACTCCCTCTTCTCTGGGCCAGCCCCTCAAATATTAGAACACTGGTATAAAGTCGTCTTTTATCTTGATGGGAAACAGGCTAAATTGATCATTCCTTAACTTCTCTGTTATTTAGTATTTTTGTCTACTTTTTCCCCTTAATGCATTTCAAAGACAGAGATGGGGTGAAAGATAACAGCAGTTTTTGCATCTTTCAGTTCTCAATCTCAGAGATATCCCTACACCTTGACCTGGAAAAAGGTCAATTTTATCCTTTTTTTAAAAAAAAAGAAAGCTCCATTTTTTAGGAGACATTTTGGAAAGAAGAATATCTTGCAGTAGTACCTATAGTAGACCTATAGAATCTCTTTCTTTCCTATCTTCCCAAAGAGGCCGCTCTCTGGCTTACTGCTTGCTCTGCTTGTAGGAGGAAGGAAAAGGAAGATTTAAAAAAAATGGAAAAGGAAGACTGAAGAGCTGCACAAATCTAGAAACTTAAAAAAAGAGACATTTATTACTTTTTCCCCTCTACCACCATCATTTTTTTCGTTTTGTAAAAAATAAAAAAATAAATACATCGCATCTTTTAAGGTTCCCAAGGTGGACTGCGTCTCCCGTCAACTTCTGTTTCTACGTGATACAGGACATCTGCCAGCGTGTGCTCTACTACAGCGACCCAGCCCATGTCACTGACCTACAAGAAGGGAGAGAGAAAAGGACGAGTTGCTTTGGTTTAGTGTCCATATAAAAGCCACTAAGACTTGAGTCTGTATCTACATACTTTGAAAAACAGAATAATAAGAGTCTGCAACAGAATATTAGTCAATCAAACAGTGCAATTCTTGACATGATTTCGAAGGGATGAGAGACCCTGTTATCAGCAATAGCACTTAGACTTATATACCACTTCATAGTGCTTTACAGTCCTCTCTAAGTGGTTTACAGAGTCAACATATTGCCCCCAACAATCTGGGTTCTCATTTGACTGACCTCGGAAGGATGGAAAGCTGAGTCAATCTTCAGTCAGAGAGGATTGAACTGTTGGCAGTCAGCAGAATTAGCCTGCAATACTGCATTCTAACCACTGCACCACCACAGCTCCTTTATTACTCATTTCCTGGTGGAGGCATTTTGAAAGAGTTCTGCACTCAGTAGTGATAACACACCGGTAATATGTTGCCGAGCCTTTTGCATACTGGCTCGTGCCCTATGGAATACTCGTGCCCACCTTGAGATCTGGCAGGATCTTGCCTCCTTAGCTTTCTAGAAAGCCATTGACAGTTGGCCTTTCCCCCAGGCATTGGGGTAGCAAAGCTGGAGCTTGATGGCCTGTATAAATTTATTTATTTTTTTATGCCAGCCATGTCCTTTATAAGGCAACTCTGGATGAATGTGCTTGGATTTTTTCTTGTCTGTTTGTTGGATGATTTTATGCTTGTCTTTTCATTACTGATGTTAGTCACCCGCAGCTGTGTCTCCCAAGATAGGCAGCCCAATAAATGTTTTAAACAAATGAATAGAAAAATATAAAGTGCTAGGAGTCACTGAAACCCAGAGTACTTGAAGAGGAAGAATGTCTTTCTACCTTCAGTTACAGCTCTGGGAAAAAAACAGTCAGATTGTGGAATAGATTTCCTTTAACTTGGAAATCAAACCGCATCCACATATATTTTTGTCAAAGGATGAAACAGTGTCTGTGTACTGTGAATGTGACCATAGCCAAATAGTCCACCAATTGATGTGAATTCTTAGATTTTTTTTAAAGAAGAAAATCTTGCTGTCAGGATAAATGCACAGCCAACAGAATACAACCTTCAGGAGCTACACATGGTCAGTGCATAACTAGACTGGCAAAGTTATTTCTTTCTTTATCTGTATAATGCGCGTGCATTATTCCTACTAGAAACAAAATTAATTTGCCAATAAAACTAAGCTTTTCATTTTCATGGAAAATGTTACAGATTACTTGCACAAAAAGCCTTGGATCCCGACTTAAAGGCACACATCATTCTGATCATCAACTTACCGGACGATAACTAATATCTCTTGGTGGGTATTTGAAGTAAGGCCCGAAGTTGATAGAAACCTATGAAAGAGGAAATTTATTTTGGTTTATTTTCATTTATTGCATTGCTCAGTACTGCCTCCTGTTCCTGCAATATTTCAACAGGTATTATTGGGAAAAAAGGATACATCTGGAGAACTATAATGGAAAAGACTGAAGAACAATTTTATCCCAAATAAAGCAATTTCTTTTAAAAAGCGTTAAGTTAAAAAAGGGGGGAGACCTACTTTCTCATATAGATTTACAGGAGTTTTTATGTAAATAATTACAGGAAAGAAGTTACTATGCTGCAAATTTTTCTACTACTATAAAAAAAGTCAGACACTCCTATTTCTATGTTTGTGGCACAGCAAACCCCCTTTTCAGTTATCAGCCTATAAAATATAAGCTTTTTTTCTTAACTAGTACAGGGAGTCCTCGACTTACAACCACAATTATGTCTAAAATTTATGTTGCTAAATGAGAACTTTGTTGAGTGAGTTTTGCTCCATTTTACAACTTTTATTGCCACGTTTGTTAAGTGAATCACTGCAGTTGTTAACTTAGTAACGTGGTTGTTAAGTGAATCTCCCCCATTGACTTTGCTCATCAGAAGGTCGTAAAAAGGGGATCACATGACACACACACCCCCGGGACCCTGCCACTGTCATAAATATGAACCAGTTACATAAGCATGGGGATGGTGCAATGGTCACAAGTGTGAAAAATGGTCATAAGTCACTTTTTTCAGTGGCGTGGTAACTTCAAGTGGCCACTAAATGAACTGTTGTAAGTCGAGGACGACCTGTAAAAAGGCTTCTGCTGAGAAACCAGATAACAGCCTTCCTCCAGAAATCTGCATTTCTGCACATGCCAAAAATATATTTGTTTATTTACTTATTTATTTCTCTCTCTCTTTCTCTCTCTCTTTCCTACTAGCCAGGTTGTTAAAATGTTATCTATTTTTCTCTCCCTGGTCCAGTGGCCCCCAATATTTTGGGCATCAGTACTCCTTTCGTGGAGGCAGGTTTTTCCGCAGACCCGAGGGGACGTGCTTTCGCGTGCTGCCTGCATCCACCGGGTGTGGCTTGGCTTGTTTGTGTGATCCAGTTTCCAGCATGCCACAGTCCGGTGTCGGTTCACGGACTGAGGCTTGGAGACCTCTCCAGTCACCTCTTCCGAGTAACAGCTCCACAGCATCCATCCTTATCTGCTTGCAAAAGGTTAGTGGACGGGAGGCTCATCTCCTCTGCCTTTAGAAAGTCCCGTGGCTGCTCATCATGGGACTGAAAATGCCACAATAGCTGATTTGAACTAAGCAGGGGAGTCAACGCTGAGTGCATTGGGAGAAATATTTGCCTAAGTCAGCCTTGTATTTATCAACATTGGTCTAGGAGCTGTCTGAGGCTAAGAGAGTTTACAATGGCATATAGACTAATGCAGAGGTCTCCAAGCCTCAGTCCGTGAACCGACACCGGACTGTGGCATGCTGGAAACTGGGCATGG